GACTGTAATATGCTGCAATTGTGTGATCTGATATGTGAAACACTTGGATTGAATGTGGACTTTGTGTATATTTTTTGTGTATTTTTTTCTGTGACATGCTGCTGGTGCCACTTCACATTCTGTATGTTGTAGTGGGGTAGAATCAAAGTGGCCAGTTTTAGAATACTGTATGTACTGTACAGCAGGTGACAGAAGTATGAAATTTATAGTGAATAATTGTTCAATTTTATTGTTGTGGCCGGAGATCATTTCAGAATAAAAATGTATGTCATATTTCAAGCCTTATTTTGTTTATCCTTTTATCAGTCATCAGACTGAAGGATTGTATAAATGAATCAGATGGTCTGTTGCTAGTTGGAGTGTTGTGTGTGTGTGTGTGTGTGTGTGTGTACGTGTAGTGGGGGGTTAGCAGTAGGACTTGAAATTTCGAGTCGTTATGATATCCTACAGAGCTCCACTGAAATCAGTATAGCGAAGGGCATCGGTTGAATTGATTTTAGCCACTTCTTGGTCTCTACAGACATTACTGCATATACTCAAGTGTTGCAATAACTATTTTCATTTTGTTTTTCAATGCAGCTATGCCTTGCTAAACCAGTCTGGTACACGGGAGGGGGTGGAGTGGGGGTGAGTCTGGTGTTGGGATACTTCCAATATTTGTATTTTTCAAGTAAACCTCTGCATGTGTTAAAATATACTGAGTACATGAAGATCAGCTGTTACACTTAACACTTATTACATTTAATGCAAATTCAAATAATATCAATCATTCTTGTCCCCCAACTCCATACATATAATTTACAGATTTTTATTAATACCAATATAATTTTCTATTTAACAAATATTGACTACTCTAAACATTTAAATGGGGATCAGGAAGTACAAGTGTATCTTCAAAGAATAAGCAAAACACCTGGGCTATCTTATAAGCAAAATGCATAGAAAACTCAAATGGTAAATGAAGGTTGCCATTTGTGTGTGACATGGAGCCTTTTAAGCAAGAGTTTTCCGAAATAAAATTATCCCGTAAACAAACATTATGACTAATAAATAAAAACAAATTAAAGGGACACCAGAACAACTACAGCTTATTGCATTTGTTCTTGTGAGTAGAATCATTCTCTTCAGGCTTTTTGCAGTAAACACTGTATTTTCAGACAAAATGAAGTGTTAACATTACAGCCTAGTAATAACTTCACTTACCACTCCACAGATGACTTATAGAGGTGCTTCCTGGGTTAGTGCTACACAGTGAGCAGCACTGCCATTCAGTGTTTCCACCCTCTGCATGCAGACCCTGAACTTTCCTCATAGAGCTGCATTGATTCATTTAATATCTGTGAATAGATGCTGATTGGCCAGGTCTGTGTTTGACTTGTGCTGGCTCTGCCCCTGATCTGCCTCCTTGACAGTCTGAGCCAATCCTATGGGAAAGCATTGTGATTGGCTCAGAACAACACTTCTGATGATGTTCCACTTCAGGCAGAGGCAGAAAGGGGCAGAGCCAGCAGCTGCAGATTTGAATACAAGTAAGAATTTACTATATTTAGGTAGGCAAAAGGGGGCCAGACGATGGTTTTAACACTATAGGATCAGGAATACATGTTTGTGTTCCTGACCATGTAGTGTTCCTTTAAAATTAATTATCCTTGAAAGACAGTACGGGGAGTCAAAAAAGTAAAGGATCCCAGTAGCTATTAATTTGTACCTTGTCTTTTGATTTAAAGTTTTTTTATCATAATACCAAATTCCTCACATTGCTGTAGCCATCAAGAGCTATTTTTCCCAGTAATGAGAACTATTAATGTAAATTGATAGTTTTACCAGAATGTTACAAATAAAAGATGGAATACATAGAGAAAACTACTGTCTATTTATACCTAGAAAAAAAAATAACAAAAGCTAAATTTGTTCCAGTCTTTTATACATTGGAGCAATGTATGCTGATCTTTGTTAGACTATCATCCTTAAAATATGGTAGTTTCTAAGCATCATAAGCACTACAGGGTGCTATAGTGGTTATGGTGCCAGAGTCTACTTTGGCACCTATAGTCCTGCCTCTCCTTCGATAACGCTAAAGCAGATGTTTGTTGACTTTTTATTTGGATATATTTCATTGGCTGAAATCATCTTGGTCTTGGCCAATGAAATCTATTTAAATATGGACAGAATTTCTGTCACTAATGTGGAAGTGAGATCTTCCACATTAGTGATATCTGAAGAGGAGTAAGATTGCTGGCAAGGAGAACCATGATGTTTCAACGTTAACATCTTACCCAGTTGAAAGTTCCAAGGTACTTATAGCAGTATAACCCCTTTAGTGTCCTGTAGTGGTTATGATTCTTACACTTAAATGTTTAATCTTGAACAGGAGTTTAGCTGTCATTAACCTATTGGCACTAGGCCAGAAGCTGTTAATTTCTTTGAGTTGGCATTAGCCGGCGATGATTAGCCACGGTATTGGCATATAAATCGTTAAGTAGTGTTTTGTGACTCCTGTAGAAATTAGTGGGGACTGCTTGTGTCTACCTAGAGATTAGCTGTCAGTAGCAGCAGCTAGTAATGCTGTCACTTACTCTGCAATTGGCAAACAAACTACTTCCTCTTAGCAGAGAAAGGCACACTCCCCAGTTCTCTTATCACATGCCCCATTCTCTCCTCATATTATCACCCCGTCCAACCCCCCATCCTCTATTATCCTCCACAGTCTAATCTTTTTGCACCTTCTCTAATCTAAATTATTAACCTATCATTTTATAACCCTGTAAATGATTTGGAATATTCCACATAACTGCTGGTAAATGCATTATAGGGCTCTAAATGTAAAGGGACACTATAGGCACCCAAACTAGTTCATCTCATTGAACTGGTCTGGGTGCAGTGTCCCTGTCTAGTTGACTCTGCAATGTAAAACTTTGCAGTTTCTGTTAACTGACATATTCTTTTATGTTCCCCATATGGCAAAGCTTGAATGTGTGCGTGGTTGTTGGTGCTCATGCACATTAGATCCCAACATTACCATGATGTCGCATGAGGAGGAGATCTTGCCATTGGCGCGGGTGCCTCAGTGTTGAAGAGGAGTTAAATGGTTTTTAACCTTTTAATCCTTTAATCTTCCACCATTGAAGAGGGGGTGAATCTAGAAAACTAGGGACAGGGACACTATAGCGTTAGGAATACAGATTTGTGTTCCTAATGAGCTAACAATTGCCCATTTGGCTGAAATCTGCAAAAGCTCCACAAAGTTGTTCAGGGAAAGGGCTGGTACATAATTATTTCCCCAATTCAGCCTTGCTGAAGGGAGTTAAGGCATCATTAAAGAGACACTATAGTCACCAACATAACGTTATCTTAATGAAGCACTTTGCGTGTATAGATCATGCCTCTGAAATCTCACTGCTCATTTCTCTGCCATTTATGAGTTAAACAACTTTTGTTCCTGTCCATGCAGCCCTAGCCACACGGCCCCTGGCTGTGACTAACACAACCTGCATGAAAACCATGTTTTAATTTTGAACCAGATGTTTGCTTTTATTTTTTTTATCTCCTGTTCTGTAAATTGAATTTTAATCACACACAATAGGATCCTGCAGGTTCTAGACGGCCATTAACAGTGCAGGAGACATGAAATTCTAAATTCAACAGACTGAGCAGTAAAGGTAGTTTAAACATTAGATCTTTACATGGAGTGTTTAGGAAGACTGTAAGTCACATGCTGGGAGGTGTGTCTATGGCTGTATAATCAAAGTGATTTAACTCCTAAATGGCGGAGAACTGAGCACTGACACTGCGGGGTCATTATGTATACACAAAAACTGCATCATTAAGCTAAAGTAGTTTTGGTGACTATAGTGTCCCTTTAAATACAGAGTACTTCTAAAATCACTTGTGAGATAAGTTTACAATATGAGATATATGGAAATTATATGACCTATACAATAGATATCTGTAATTCCATTGTAACTAAATATGATACATTTAATGAAAAGTCCCAGACTAAGTTATATGTGTTGTACTATATGTTTTAAAGCTAGGACATTTTCAATGAAACTTTAAATGGCTAAGGTTGACTTGTTCAACTCACTGTAACTGATAATTAAATGGAATGGAACAAGATCCAGGCTAATTCTGATGAAGCTGATATAATGAAAAGAACAGTCGTGGACTACCTCAACTACCTCAGGTAACCTGTAGCTGATAAATACAGCACAAAAAGGCATAATAGAATTACATTTTTAGCGTTAAATAGCAGCTCCAATCACAAATACATTGTACCTTCCCCTTGAAAGGTAGACTCCGGAAAAAGTCATATTTGGACCTAAATAATACTAAAGAAACTATACATTAAAGAACAACTGTTACCAAATGTAACTTTTGTTTTTCATGATGAATAGTCATATTGGGTCAGTCTGTAATGTTATCTGGCCAAATGCTGCTCAACCTAACTTGGTTGCTGCTGCAGGTTCACACATAGAAATTGCAGCAGCTGGTCAGATAACAGTATATGCTTACCCAACCTGACTGCTTAGCTAAATAGAGGCAGTGTCATGCAGGGCTTAGCTCATTGGCTGATGGCACCGGCAGACCATAGGTGAGTTGTCAAATATTTCTTAAATAGTTTTGCTACTTACAGTGAGTGGACACCAGGACACTGCTGGTATCATACTCACCACTGTAAGCTGTAGTAGTTATGGTGCTCGGAGTGTTCCTTTAACTGATGTAGAAAACTACAAACCTCTATTTTGGATATCAGATCTTATACACATACATTGGAAGGACACCTTAATAACTACAGCCCATATAAAGTGGTTATCCATGAAAATACAGATAGGGAACGCCCAATGCAAAGCAAAAAGACATGATGGTTCTCTGATTTAAAAAAAATAAAAAAATATTTACAAGCAGAAAGCTGAAACAGAGGCTCCCTGATTCATAGGAGACTATATTTAAAAGAAGAAAAACTACCACAACAAGAGGACATAGTCTTAAATTAGAGGGACAAAGGTTTAAAAATAATATCAGGAAGTATTACTTTACTGAGAGGGTAGTGGATGCATGGAATAGCCTTCCAGCTGAAGTGGTAGAGGTTAACACAGTAAAGGAGTTTAAGCATGCATGGGATAGGCATAAGGCTATCCTAACCATAAGATAAGGCTAGGGACTAATGAAAGTTTTTAGAAAATTGGGCAGACTAGATGGGCCGAATGGTTCTTATCTGCCGTCACATTCTATGTTTCTATAACTGGTGTATACCAATTGCAAAAGTGGACTGT